GTTGCAATATCCGAAAGTAGTGCTTAGACGGATTTCAGAGTCTGCAAAATTTTTTGGAATTTTATTATTTTCAGGATCTCAGTAAGTGGTGGTGGCGGCATCACTGGCGGCGGTTATGGCAACATCGATTTTATCGATTCGGCGGATTCGAGTGGTCTGGACTACGGCTCTGGTGGCGTCTTCTCGAAAGTCCTGTACGATCGCCCTCAAGATGATCTGAACAGCTACAAGAAACGCATTGACGCCAACACCGAGCAGCAGCGTGAGCATGCTGATATCATGGCCGCGTTGCAGCGCAAGGTCACTTACTTTTATAAGTGTTTTTCGTGGCGGAGATCATCTGGGAGCTTCGAAAAAAAAACGATGTGGTACTTTTCTGAGCCAGTCCAGTGCATCAATTTCGCAAAGCAGTTGCAGATTGCAGCAAAATCTCGTCATCTTTTTGAAACAGAACACCACCAACTCTTTTGGATGGTTCTAAGGAGCTGCAGTCTTTGAGAGAGCGCCAAATCTAGCATGCTTTTTTTTCCGGCTAAAATTGGACACGCCAAAGTGCGGCGTGAGAAAGAGATGTTCGGGAGAAGGAAAAAATTTTTCAAGCAGGTTGCTGAATTCTTCAGGTGGAGGAATATCGACGGCGCTTTGCGGACATCGAGGGAAAACTGGTGGTGAAAAAGCTGGACGAAACCGGTGTTGACCTAGGTGACATCAAGCTCAAGGATGACCTTCTTTGGAGCTCGAAGCTAAAGCTGGAGGAATTCAGTGATGCCGAGTTCGTTCGTCGCTTAGAGGAAGAACGCCGCCGGTAAGTGATCATTCAGTTTTTCGAATTTTTAAGATTTTTCATATTCAAAATCAGTTATTTATGATGAACAATCAGTGATGAATTTTGTGTATGGCTATAGAAACTGAGTGCTTTTTTCTAGAGCCGAGGATTTGGCGATGCAACTGGATCAGGAACGTCTTCAGAATGACCAGCTGCAGAGCGAGATTCAGCGTTTACGCCAACAGTTCGAAATCAGTATTCGTGACAAGGAACGAGTCTACCAAAGTCGTGAGCGGGTAGTGTTGCAGTTTTTTCATAAATTTTGGACTTTCTGCCTCGTTAAAAATTTAATATCACAATTTTACCTCTTTCTTCTTTCGAAAGTTTCATTTTTTAAAGCATTCCCAAAGTTCGCTACTTTAAATCAGAAATCGTTAGAGAGGGAAAGGAAAAAATGGCGCTAGAAGGGTTAAAAAAAAGAAAACGATAAACTTAAGTAAAAAAGTATTTTGCAGAATCTTGCACAATATTTGGGCGATGAGCAGCGTAAAATGATGG